CGCTATGAAATGAGATCGTAGGTGGAGGGGAGGCTAAAAGGGAGGGGAGGGACAAAGAAAATTTTCCCATACATGTACCGAAAAGGTGCTCCCGGGGATATCGTACAAGTTCGTTACGAAACCATTTATCCCCTGGGATTCTATCAACTCTCACCAGAGCAATATCAATATGATTATCTACAGTGCTCTCACTTGATACACAAGTTGAATAACTAGTTTCGTCTACCTTGAAACCTGCGTCCTGATGGCAGCACTATCAGCAAGGACGTTTCTCTTAACATTACTAAAGCCAGATCAGCATTTCTCAACCTGAGACGCTTGTGCTACCGTTGGGATGTCTCCACCTCGATAATGGGCCACGTTTATAGTGCTTCTGTTTGTGCATTGTTGTCTCGTAGAAAACTTGCATCATCTTTCTGCCTCTGACAAGGGGTTTCTGAGGAGGATCGTTCATGTGTGCTTGCAACACTGAGTTCACAGTGATGATGTTCAATGTCTCATCTTGGGAAATGCGAGTATTCCCTTCAACAATCTGGTTCTGCCGCGCCAGTTGAGATAGCTCGGTCACATCCTACGCATGGTGCCAACGCGTTTTCCACGCTCGTTTGGGACCGGATTGGAGACGATCGCGTGGCGGTCAGCCTTTCACCTGGCCACAGCATATGAAATAGCTGACATCAAGTTTACCCGCCGTTGGACCTGTACGTCTTCCAGGATAGGGACCCAAGAATGAGGAGTGCCAGTGGCTTAACACTTTTGAAGACATGACCCACAAACAGAATCAGTAGAATAACAGTTTACTGAATCCTACTAATTCATATATTTAGCACCTCGAACATTGATGACAAAAAATTAGCATATGGAAAACAAACATTTTTCGATCTATCGATGAGCAAAGTGTAATTTCCTTTTATTCCCATCGATTTTTATGGCTCTATTACCACTACTTGGGCTGATAACTTTATATATATATTTATGCATGATATTTAAATCGCATTACGGTACTGATCAATGGAGACAATTATATAGCAATTCCTCTGTGGTATTTCAGGTAAGGTCTGATAAGCATCCAGTTAAAACATTTCGCCGTTCGTATCCACTTATAAAGGATCGCATAGGCGTACTTTTATCTTTTGGGGCAGCACGAAGCGGAAGCATTATTGGCAGACGTCACATAGGTTCACGATGTGGTCGTGTTGCTGAGATCAACAAGAGCACAACCATTCCATTCGTTTCATTTTTCTTTTTCCTGCGTGCCAAAACTCCGTGCACTGTGGGAAGAGAAGACACTAGCACTTCGCTGGTAGCTCGTGCTGACAATTCGCCGCCACGCAGTCGCCAGCAGTCGTATGCAAGATAGCGATGCTGTAAAATCGCCCGCATTTACACAGGCTCAAAGCGGCGACTGATAGCTTACAAACTAGATGTTTGCACAACTCGGACATCGGCCGTTAGTATTCCAAGTAACTGTTAAGTTTCAGTTTGCGTGCTGAATAGCCAGCCAATTTAGGTAGTTTCGGCCAGACTAGTAGAAAATAATCTTGTCGAATAGACTAGGTTTCGCTCGAGGAGACAGCAAACAGCGTATTTCTTAACTGATCCTGATCATTTCAGCTTTCGCAGTTTTTGAACTCTACCTGTTGTAGACGTCCATAAATCAAGAGGGTCTCGGTGTTTATTGAATCTGAATGGCTCAGCGGCGGAACCAAGTTTGTGAAAGAGCATGGCGGCAAGTTTCCATTTACCATCTTAGGTTGACTATGTATATGTCGGTATTGTATGACTATTGGTTGTACGGTTATGTCAGCGAGTAAAAGTCTGCAGACGTCCCAACGCGCAACCTGTCCTTCTGAATTCTCGCGATTTTTTGAAAAACGAACGGTATCAGCTGTACTTTGGCACACTGAAGCTGCGTTTCGCGGACACGCGAACACCGCCGGTCGAGCATGCATATATATGTATATACATATATGCAAGTAGCGTACCTGTTCATTATGCACCATCTCGTCTATACTGGCTCTAGGTGAATGCTGGTCGATGCTGAAGGGGACGGGGTGTACGGTCCTCGTGACTGTGCTAGGCTCAAAGATTGGTTCCATCCGTCCAATGTGGTGGGCTACGGCCCAGACGCCGCGTTGTGTACGCCTAGTACGCATGATTCTCCACGTAGATAAACAGGAATGCGCTGCTACTGTGCATGTTGAACAAGTGTTGGCCGGCTCCGTTGATGAAATGTTGCTTCCATCCACATGTCTCCCTGTCTCATTCCTTCGGGCTTACACCAGATATAGGGTGGGTGGATGGGGTTGCGCGTTGTGCAGCGTCAGCCACCCATGGTCCCTCTGTAGTCTCAGGCTTCTTGTGGCTATCCCATGGAGATCGCAGTGTCAGACAAATCCGGAACCGGATGCCGCCAACCATATCTACAGATCGCAAAGATCTGCGGCGCAGTCTGTACTGAACCGTGTGCATTAGTTTGCCTCTGCCATAGAGGAACATTGTAGGACTGCTTGGGTCATATTGATAGATTACTCAAACGCTTTCATAAGTTGTGACATATACGCCACACAATTAGTTAATTGAGATTCGTGTCCGTTTAAGCGTTTTAAAGCTGACGAGCGTCTGTGTGTAGGGTGCGCTAACTTTACCAAGCAAATCGGAAAGAATCCGCTAAGTTTCCGATTATATTTTGCCGAAAGTCATTCTCTTCCAGTTTTCTCAAATACTGTAATACTTCCTAAACTATCTCCTTCCTTTTCTTTCAACTATGTTGACAAAGCTTTTCTGTTAGTGTCACTTCCAGTGTTGTGCAAAACCTGACGCTTCAACAAGGCTTAAATGAACTTAGGTGGCCACAGTCCCAGCATCTTCCCCTACAAACCCCCTAGTGCTATGATGTAGTATTTCTTTTTCCATAATAATGGACAGCTAAATAGGTTAAATGCCTCGTTCCTATGTAGCTTATAGTGTAAGCATCCCTGGTTCATTTGGCGTCAAACAGCCCGGTATCATTTTCATAACATTTATCCTAGTCCATGCACGTTAGTGAAGTAAATTTGAAATAACGGTTATATTTTATACCAACCGACACAAATTGTTTTCAATACTGCAAGAATTAACTTCAATTTCGTGACTACATGCCTTATTCCCCAATTAACCGTATCCTTCTTTGGTGAGTTCCCCCAGCCTTACCCTGGATGTACAGTTGATAAAGCCTATTTCCAGAAACAATCGATTCTCATAGGAGCGTTTAGCAGCCTTCCCTATTAATGAAAATGTTGGGGTATCTGGCACTGCTTTTAAAGCTTTTAAGTGGATATTTCCACCTGTTGCACAATCATTTATCTGAATCGTCGTTTGCATTTTCTACGCATTCTGTTTTCAAAAATGGTATTTTCTCGCGCATCATCACAGTGAAATCCTATGACGTCCTTGGCTTGTTGGGCGTGATACGACATATTTTAATCGAGTGACACCTGGACAAACTTTTCCACTTTCACATTTTTAAGGAAAATACTTTCCTATAGCTACGGTTTGCGGTAAAACTGGGGTATAAGATATAAGTTGTAGTATTGTGTAGTTTGTCTCGATTGTTGCCTACGCATTTTATTACTGAAATCAATTACCCGGGTGATCCCAGTTGCGACTTCAAAAGTCGCGGTCCACAGCATTCACATTGAATCGTTTATGGAATGGGGAAATTTGATAACCTCTGTCAGTGCTTAACATTCGAAAGCTTTCTTCACCTGGGAAACATTTGAATCACCCACGTTCCGTGGGTTCAGCTACAGACTCATGAGAAATTCTCCGGTAATTTCAACTGAAGCTTTGAAGCCCCCTGAGCATAAAACACATCAGATTTACCCCGTCTAGTTCAATGAAGTGAACTGGCTGTGTAGTTTACACGTTGTCCTCGGATGTTCACCAAATAACACCATATGTAGTGTCAGATTCCACTTACCAGGGAAAGCTCTCCCGAATCTGTTAATTCTGCACCCACGCTAGCCAACACGTTGCTACCAGGCTGATCCCGAGTTTACGTGGCTTTGGGTATGAAGACCGGTGCGAGAAACTAGGACTCTACACCTTGTTCTACCGTCGGGTGCGAGTCGACCTCATTATGACCTACCGCATTCTACATCTCGGTGAGTTCCTCATGTTAAGGCCAATGCTACACTTACGAGGGCCATGCAGCACACGCGGACACAGATACAAACTTGTTGTGCCGGATATGAAACGTGTTCCCCACCTACTGTGCTTCGAACGGAGAGTGGTAAACATTTAGAATAGTTTGCCCGAACATGTGATTGAGGCAACATCTGTGCAACAGTTCAAAACGTTGTTAGATTTGCATTTTGCCTCTATTCGATTCAGAGAACGACTGCACACTTACGATGACATCACATTTGTGAATCCTGAAATATCGTAAGTCGCATATTTAAATATTACATGAGAACGACAATGATATTCAAGGTTGACAACTTTTATAACGTTTTTCGCCATATTTCGAAAGAGTTGTACAGAATCCATTTCCACTTGCTCTATAATACAGTATTCAGTATTCAGTTAAAAGTCCGTTGGATGACCCACTCCACCACTTACATGTTGTTACTTGACACCTCTCTCCATCCTACTCCCGGGAAATACCTTGAAATTATTTATTCCCCAATTGAAGGAATGGAAACACTCGGAGTGCAGGGCTACTGCATTAGATAAGATAAACCCATACTTTTGACAGTTGGACCAGTAACTGCATTGTTTTCATTAACGTTTTTCGATAGCCCACCAGACCACCCAAAGGGGCTTGTAAAGCAGTGCTTCTTAACCCGTATAACTCATTGTTCATTACCGTTTACTTACTGCATGGATGCTCAGACTGTGTCGGAAACGTTCCTCTGAATTGCGAAGCGCCACTGTTCTATGATGTGACTTCCTTAACAACTACGCTCGTGCTGTATGCAAATAGCTACGAATGTCCTCAGCAAATTTATTCAGTGGATGCAATGGATTACAATTTCCAAGTTCGGTCTACGTACGCTATGCATACAGTGCGAATAATAAGTAATATAAGAAATAAATTCAAAATGCGACTCAAATCTTCGATGAATAGTAAGTAAATAAAAGGTATATCTCTGGAGTCGTGGGAATGGTTCATTAGTTGTGTAATTCTGAACGACTTTTCATGATTATATCCTAAAAGAATGAAGTATTTAAATGCAAGGCTTTCGAAATTAAATATCGGGTCTGGATTTGGACTTCTTCCGAATAAGCGTTATCTCCTGCCAGTTTCACTTCACAGCTTGAGCGCAAGCGATCGAGCGAACACATGAAGCACAATTGCTTGCGGCGGCTCCAAGTGGTTGCACGTCACGTGCCCTGCTGTAGAATGATAATAATCTATCTAGTTTTGGTTTTGGGCAATTCATTGTGTTTCCCCAGTTAAATTACGCTGCACACGTGGATAAGCGATAGAATTAACGGCACTTGATGCACCATGGACTGTGCTTTCATCCGCGATGGTGCACTCGACGTGTGCTGCAGATACGATGGCATGTTCAGCATCCTTCCAGTGGCCCCGGATAGAGAAGACGTGCGAAATATGATTCTTTGAGCCTCGGAAAATCCCATATTGTTGTGACCTGACAGCTCCAATTCGTAGGCTGTGTCCGGCTTCAGGTTCTCCACACGATATTGGCAAATCGCCTCAGCTTCCCTGCGTTGATCTTCACTCGCGCAGTTTGGTCGAACTGGTGAGTATTCGACCCATTCACCGATTGGCCTACCATTCACTTCTCCTGAAATGGACAAAATGTAAAGCGATGTAACGGTATTTGGATTAAACAGTACGTGGCGTAAAGCCCCAGTCATTTTAATATATCATTTGCAGTTTACCGAACTTCTTGTGAGTTAACTAAATGAATAAATAAATGTTTAATTCTCGGCTACACGAGGCATGCCTTTAAAGGTATGATCATAGTAATAGTACAACCGATCAATAATGCGCAATAGTATAATAGGATCTTCATACGTGTGAATTCATAAACGCAGTCAGGTACGTATGTAGGTGTGTCGTTTGTATTTGTAAATGCTCGTTTGATGGCGTTCGATCGCGTCGCCAATGTCTAAAGGAATGTTTGGCGACTGTGGATTTAGATTATTGATGGTTTGATAGGATTATCCGAGTAAGCAAGGGCAGTGACTTTAGTTGGTGGCGAGTCACAATCGCCGCGTCCCAGTGTTGTTACACAGACATGTGTGGCTTGTGATAGGAACGCTTGCTAGGCAAAAGCGAACCAGGTCCTGGAACACGAATCGACCGAATAAGTATCCATCATTGTGGTCTGCTCTGGACGAGTCATTCCCACTCCTCCTCCTTTCCGCTGTTCAGCATACTCTGAGTGACAAAGAAGTTACCAGTCATCCCTGTGGTCATGTGGCAGCGAAACATTTAGTGTTATCTGCACTACTTGATAAATGCTAAATCTGTGAGGATCTGAATTCGTTCGCGCAACAGACATTTACGGATTTGCCGTTAACAATGATGTGCGAACGAGGAGAAGAAGAAAAGATTTCCGTTGCCGTGTAAATGCTGCCAACCAGTAACATTAAGATGACGGAATAACAAAAACCTATGATGCGTGGAGAAATTGCGCAGAATATGGTCCCAGAAGAGAAGAGTTGCACAGTCTCCGTGCAAGTTGATTGACGTTAAGTGTGTATGAAATAGACAGAGTAAAACGATTTCCAATCACGAGACGATGGTAATTTAGCTTATCTAGTAGATCTATCAGATGTGTATTTTTGTAGTACTTTTGCTTACCCATTGAGTAATCCACCTCCACTGGCCGCACACTGATTTTGTATTCGTCTATCTCTGTACTGCCCCCAACGTTCTTCCAATGTACGTTATAAGCAGTCGGTTCGATGTAGTCTTGCGCTGTGAACATTTTGATGACTGGTGTGGAGAGACGATTAGTTGTGACCTGTTGGAGAATAGCATATATTTGCATTAAAAAACTCATTGCGTGCTGGGCTACGTTCACGGTGTTTGTCAGTGCGTTCAACTCTACTTGACTACAGCCGCTATCGATGGGATAAGTGAATATGCTCAAGGGAATGAGTGCGTTGGCCTCCATCGGATTTGCATTCGTCACTGTAGATCAAAGAAAACAGTAGGAGAAATATTGTTTTTCAGATTCCAAACTAAACTTAGCCAGACAGACACCACACATCTAGGAGAACACTTCCTTGGAAATGTGGTGGCTGTCTGACTGAGTCTTGCAGCGAATAGCCATCTCAAATGCTGCAGACCTACTTTGGCGGAGTTGGTAAATGGCAAAGAGTGTAATATTGCGATTCTTAGCTGATACTACTTCAGAATTTTCGGTTGAATACACTCCGGTAGAACAATGATGAACAGTGTCAGTCGACCATCTTCATATCCCGGTAAGGCTGTCTAAATTATAGCAAAGATTTCGCGGCCCAAAGTCCACTTCTATAAGCAAAGTAAAAGGTTAAAAAAGCCGAAGCTTGACATATCCCACCGGATGATCGATTAGGGGGGTGGGAAAAATAAAGGAAAATTAGGAATAGGAAATGGTGAACAACCAAAAATTGTGAACTTGCCGATTACAACGTTCCCGTATGAGCAGTCAACGCTTGATTTCATGTATTATCTAAGGTTATCGTCTATGGTTTCCGCACAAAAATGGAGCAGGAGGAGGGATGATTTGTTTTTGTTTTCCTGCTGTTTGCATGTGTCGCTTAGACTACGTGGTATGGTGTAGTATGGCCAGCGCACTGTCGGCAAATATTTTGAACATGGCTGACGACAGGGATGAAATAACAGCTGCTGAGAGGGTATTCCACGTGTGGCAAACACAGACCGAGAAGAAGTTTGTTCGACACTCGAAGTGACTGTATTATTCTGCCGATTTCAGATGATGACCACAAAGTTGATTTTTGTGACTTAGTTGCAACAGGTGATACCACAGGGGATTAGTGTTGTTTAATAGCTAGAAAGCCATGATTAGGCCCCTAGGTAAACGTTGACAACATCCACTGAAAATGCCAAGCACTCTGAGGCGCATCCCCTTGACATTTTTGGCCGCCCGACGTTGGGGAATCTCCAAGGCCGTGAGAGCCCGCTTTAGACATGGGTGCCATGCTTGAATTGCATATTCAACATCAGTGCGTATGATAGCGGGAAGTCTTGGGTGGAAAATAGACGGTTCGAATTGCCCGAAAGCTCTCCGTAAAAGGCCCACGATTTGAATCCCCTTATTCGATGCCCTTTTGGATTGCTCCAAGCAGCCGAGACCTTCCTTGACAAACACACCGTAATCATTTTCGAGAGAATAGTGTTGCAGCTACTGGTACTCCAGCTACTTTGGGTGAACCTTTTGGTGCCTTAATTCGAGCACTCAACATTTATCCACATTGAAAAAGGACATTGTGGACCGATCATCCATAAATCTTGTCAGCCTCGTTTCGAAGCTGGATACGGTTTTCTGGACCTTTGCTCACTCACAAAACTTTGATGTCAAGGACGCAGAGTAAACAGTTTGACTTAATTTGATTTACTAGATCGTTTATGAAGTCCAAGAATAGTCGAAGCCCCAGTACAGAACCCTGTGGCACCGTATTCGAGGTGAATTGGTTCTGACATGGATTCTCGTACTCTCACCTACAAACGCCTGTGCGACAGAAAATTGCAGACACCCCAGGAGAGGGCCCCCAATACCACATCCTAGAAATTTGGAGAGAAGGATACGACGGTCTAACCGGTGGAATGCCTTAGAGAAATCAAGGTAAACCACATCAACTTCCGCACCAATAGCCACCGTTTGGGTCCAGCTGTCGCGTGCCAACAATAGGTTGGTTGTGCATGACCCATTCTGGCGGAAGCCGTGTTTCTGCTAAGCAATGTGAGTAATGCCGTCCAGATAAGACATGTGTGCATCGGTAATGATAGCCTACATAACTTTTAAAACACTGCAGAAGCATCAGTACTCCATAGTTAGCTGGGTCGGAACCACTGCTCCCTATGTAAACCGGAGATAATATCCCATCAAGTTGGTCCTTCGAATTTAAAGAAGGCTGGACGTAGGTCACCTGGTCCCACGGCTTTATTTAACCAACAGTTCTATCTCACGTTCGACTTCTAAGCGAGAGGGTGGATCGAAAAGGACAGCCCAGGGAGCGGGGCGATCAGTAGCCGATGAGAAATCTAACAATTCCGACCGATTAAATTGCCTTTCAAAATGCTCAGCCCTAACGCTCCAAGCGTTTTGACAAATTGTGGATAGGCTGTCCACTCTCGTCACGTATAGTTTCACTAACACTAGGTCTTCTGCTGCCCGTTACCCGTATCATCCGGAATAACTTACGATGGTTACCAAGGGCGGCGGTCATTTCCATCTCTGACGCGCGATGAGACCACCAGGATTCGTGTTCTCTCTTCAGGCTAGCACGCAGTTTTGCCCGGAGCTCTTTGCGAGTTTCGTTGTGTTCGCTTCCAGCCGGAATATGCCGGCGAGCATCGATAAGTTCCAGAGACTGTGAAGAGACCCAATGTCCATGTTGGCGATTAGACTCATCACATGAGGACTCACCTGGTGCTAGTAAGGACTGGTGTGTATGAGACCAGTGAGCTTCAATTGCATCCAGTGAGTGCTTACTCAACTCGCATGATAGCGTACTTTGATAGACATTCAGAACAGCTGGCTTCGCCAGTTGGCTGGTGTCAATGCGCTCACAACGTCGTCTTGGGCGTCTGCCAAAACGTATGCGCAGGTCAGCACATACAAGTGCATGGTCGCTGTCCACACATGTGCTCCAAATCGAGCGACAGTGTTGGACGCAGCCTCTCCATCGGTAACTGATAGCAATGTGATCGATTTGCTTCCAAGCCTGGTTCGAGGCTGGTGGGCGCCAAGTCACCCCCCGGCGGGTGCTATGTCGGAAATTAGTGCTCGCAAGAAATGAGCAAGCTCTTCATATAAATGAGGCAACCGCTCACCGTTATTGTTACGGGAGCCACCACCATGTTGGCCGCCCAGGTGCAGCTCATCAGTGGATAATTTTCCAACTTGAGCGTTCAGATCCCCAGCCACCACATCAGTGTCCGAACTTCTTCTGTGGTGATGGAGGTCGTTCAATTGGTGATAGAAGTTGTCTTTTACCGGATCATCGCTAGAGTTTGTGGGTGCATAGGCAACGATGACGAATAGACACTTGTTAGTCCCGCGCGACCTCGAAGCTTTGAACGAGCCAGCCAATCGGACCGCACACATCCGGCTACTGACTGAAATCCAGTCAACCAGGCAGCTCCAACCCGGGGACTCAGGGCAATACCAACACCGGCTTGGCCGGTGCTCGAAGCTGCATCGTCACCGGATAGGCGTAATGAGAAAGTGTTTCAGGTGTCACCTGAAGGGGATCACAAGGTGAGCCCAGAGCTCGAGTCTTGCAGGTGGGTCTCCGATAAGCAGCAGATATCGATCGAGAGGGTCTCTAATGTTCGGGAAAGTGCTGCGTGTTGACCGATCTGCAGCAATGTGCGTACATTGAGGCATGCCGATCTGAAGGATGATAGCGGGCTCCAAATGGAAGTCGATGAACTGGGCTTGGCCGTTTGGTTGGACATGGGTTTGTCGACAGGACAGGAATGACGCTCCGAGTTCACATGTGAGTTGAAACTTAGAGGTAAAGGTCTATCGAAGCAACGTGGGGGAGGACCGAGGATTGTGGGGTTGAAAACAGGTGGGATAAAAGTGAAGCTGAAACGGGACGGTAAGAGAGAAATGGCTTAAGAGGGGGAATAAGAAGATGGGAATGCTTGAGCAGTAGCATCCATACTCCTATTTACCCTGCTCGATACAGCAGATAGGGCACCGTTGATTATTCTCTGCGGTGGCCAGCGCATTAAGAAACTGTTTGAAGCGAACTTCATTGTATTGCCTGGGCAGGACACTGACAGGTTGTCCAGACCTAGACAGGACAACGATTAGGGTTCTTAACCAAAGCCTTTGGTTCAAAAACCTGACCGCAAGGCGACGGGTTTGGTGTTGGACCACAAGGAGTCCGTTTTAAGGAATAAGGATCTACCCTCATTCCAACCCCCAACCTAGAGGACCAGGAGGCTGAGATTGTCTGGCCTCTAATCACTGATCAATCTGGTATGGGTGGCTCTGAAGGTGAAAGAAAAGCACCACCCAGCATAGCTCAATTGATCACTGAGGCACACAAACTATCGCACCAAGGTAAGGTCCAGCCTCATTGCGATGGGTTTTAGAGTATCTTGAATAACAAAACAAATCGTTTACAAATGCCAACCCACTATACACATGCGACTGCTGCTGGTGAGTATAAAGCTTGCATTTGGGGATTATTCATCAGCCTGGTGACAAACCAGTGTGGTGTACTTAATAGTCCCCTTGCTACATTTGGTCGTATCATATAGATGTCGAGCTGAGGAAAGAAGTGCTGCGATTAGGTCACAAGCAGGAAGATGCACAAAGCGTCACAGTAGGTCAGGCAGTTCTATGAAATACTGTATGCTGAATAGTGTATTATAGAGCAAGCAGAAATGATTACTGTAAAACGCATCCGAAATATGACGAAAAACGTTATACAAATTGTCAGCCGTGAATATCGTTGTCGTTCTCATGTAACATGTAAATATCTGACTCACGGCATTGCAGGACTCACAAATGGGACATGTCATCGTAAGTGCGCAATCGTTCTCTGAATCGAATAGTGGTAAAATACATATCTAACAACGTTTTGAACTGCTGCACAGATCTTGCCTCCGTCACATGTTCAGGTAAACTGTTCCAAATATTTACCACTCTCCGTTCGAAGCACAGTGGGTGGGGAACACGCTTCACATCCGGTACGACAAGTTTGTATCTGTGTCCGCGTGTGCTGCAGGGTCCTCGTAAGTGCAGCATTGGCCTCAGCATGGGGAAGTCACCGAGATGTAGAATGCGGTAGGTCATAATGAGGTCGACTCGCGCCCGACGGTAGGACAAGGTGTAGAGTCCTAGTTTCTCGCACCGGTCTTCATACCCCAAGCCACGTAGACTCGGGATGAGCCTTGTAGCAAAGTGTTGGACCCGTTCGATTTTTAGTGCCTAGCCTCGGGTAATCGGAATGTAGGCGCGCGAACCGTACTCTAGCATTTGTCTGATGATGGAAGAGAAGGGGTGAGTAGCAACCTCTTCAGACCATGTACCGAAGCTAGGTTTGGGCGCCCAAAGCATGCGCAGTCCGTTACGATATTGTCTGTTCGTGTTGTGCACGGACTTAAATTGTAGGGCGAGAGTACACCTAGGTCCTGCACGGAGGGTGTGGGATATAGCGGTTTGCCGTCAAGGGTGTAGGTTCGACCGTCAGCACCCTTCCCCAGGCTCATAAATACAGAATTGGCTTGGTTGACCGGGAGATGAACTTCGCAAAACATGTGGATGGGCGGTTGAGGTCTTGCTGAATTAGACCACAGTCGACGGGAGCGTGCATTTCTCTCCAAATCTTCATATCGTCTGCAAACAAGGCACACGGCAATCGGAGAAGCTGTGTTAGATCGTTGATGTGAATCAGGAACAGAGTGGGCCCTAGCACAGTGTCTTGAGGCACGCCAGTTGTAGAGGGATACCAGTCAGTTAGATGGTCGTCGACCTGTACCCTCCACTTTCGTCCAACAAGAAGTCGCGGATCCACCGGTGCAGTGAGCCACCGACACCACACATCCTGAATTTGTGAAGGCGAACCTCATGGCTGACCTTGTCGAATGCTTTACTGGAATCGATGAATGTCACGTCGAGAGACTTCTCCTTGCTTATTGCCTTTAACCACACATGCCTCGTCACAAGCAGGTATGTAATGCATATGCGGCCTTGCATAAAACCGTGCTGTGGGAATGTCAGGACCTCGTTTGACTGTAGCAGCTGCAGCAATCCTTACTTCATGATTTTCCCAGCAACCTTTGCCAAAATAGGTGTCCGACATATTGGCCTGTAGTTATCTACTTTCCTAGGGTCTCCGCCTTTCGGAATAGGCTTCAGCACCGAACATTTCCAGTCAATCGGCATTGAACCTTCGGACAGCGACCTGTTGAATAGGTCAGTCAAGAAGGAGATGATGGTCGAAAAAGACTTGAGAATCAGTGGGTGAAGCTCATCAGGTCCGGCAGGTTTGGTGCCGTCAAGAGTAGTTGACATATCTCTTCAACGGCGCAATCCAGACTGTCGAGTTTGGTAAAAGCCGTACACGTTTAACTCGGAACAGACACCTGGTCATTCGCAAATACAGAAGCGAAATGCGCCGCCAATGCGAACGCACGCTCAGTGTCCATCCGGGCCATCCAGCACTGTCACCTTAACTGCCGGCTTCAGGCGTCGCTTCACATAAGCAAAGATTCTCTTTGGGGTGGTCTTCGCGGTTATTGCGAGCTGCTGTTCGAAATGTCGGCGCTTCCTGCTTATTGCACTATTGCAGAGGTTCCGCAGAGGTTCGCTTCTTAATCTTTGTGGGAGAAATCGACTGGTGTCGACGGTGCGAATTACAGTTGTATTCAACAAAGTGGATACCCGCACCCAGATGGGGTGGATGAAAATGGTTGTACCCTGTCTAGTCATGTTTATTGTCGTTAATTTTAAGGCATATGTCAAAAAGTATGCTCAAAGTGTTTCGTCGGTTTCTGTTTAGTCCATCGTGTACCAACGCCAGAAGCCACTGTCAAACTACTTCGCTTATATAAAGCCATTTTAGAGCGTATACAGACCGCTACCTTTGCAAGTTGCTAGAAAGTATAGACAAATGCACTGTAGAAGTGCATACAGTGTAAACCTTCACCCTACTTCAAGTGTTCAGCAAAGCTGTACACACAAGTGCTGTCTCAATCAATTCGCGGATAGGTAAAACAATTGATGAATTTCCCCCACCTACAATGAGACAGCGTAGAATCAACAAGAACGGAAGATTCACTTCCCAACAATATCCTGTCAATTGGTAAGCTCGCGTCAAAGACTTAACGATACCGACATCGATATTTGCGTTTCCACAACAGGATAAACTCCTTGGGTAAGTTGTCTAGCAAGTGGCTAAAAAACCGAGATAGCTAAACGTCGTATTCTATTGCACCACGAACTACCTGCACTGATTGAGTTTGGGGAATCTGTTAGCACGATCTGACCTAATAGTCACGTCTAGTGGTGAAGGCGTAAACTGTCGGTGTACGGCCTCAACGATACTGTTGCGGAAGTAACCAGTAAGATGTAGCTGCCTGGGTGGGTGCTCATACTGACTGGATGGCTCTAGCAAATATGACTTCCTGATGACGCGATGGAGTAGCCAGTAATGGCATTTTTTAAAGTGCTTAGTTTTACGCATACCTGCTTCTACAATAATTGATGAACTGCATGAACGAGCAATGATCGCTGCTTCCAAGAAATTTCATAAGTTGCAGCATGTCCCAAATTCCAAGTGTGGGGATATGTGTGGTAAACCAACAGCAATTTCCTTCGTAGGGGCTAAGGATGAGATGCGTTTATTTGCCAGACTGATTTTTATTCAAACTCATGTTGCTAGGTGAAGTACACGAAGCGTTTCTTTTAGCGAGTTTCTTATTATCCATTAATAGTCCATGAATTATACAGTGTTCCCTTTTACTTTCAAGGTCGAGGCTAAGTTAATTGAATTGTGTGTGGATCCACCGAAGGAAACGGGCGGTCTACCATTGACGCACTACGAACTTCGCATACAAACTCATCCACGAGGAGCGTTTTACGGTCCGTTCGCCTACCTACCTGGTCGTAGACTCCTTCGTTTACCGCACCTGATTCCGGGATACTACTATCGATTTGCACTGTCTGCGGTCTCCGCAGCCGGTCGAGGACCAAATGCGTACCTTCAGGTGAGAGCGCTAATGATGTGTGAAATTCAATCATATAAATATCTACCATGGGTTGGGGATCATCAGTGTGATCTCGTGTTTGTTTTCGATTCCTTTACTATCTTTGATGAATAACGTGGAGGATAGCGCATTTGCGAATTCCAGTAGATTTCGAGCCGGGATACCTTAAATTTCCTTTCTAGGTTACAGCTTAGCTGCGCACTCACCTCACTTTAACTCAGATCTGCATGCGACTGCAGAATCCAAAACAGCATGCACTTCCACTTCTGCGTGAATAAACCATTCAGTTATGAAGGAATGTGTTCGACTCGCAACTAATACAAAGATCATCATTCCAAAACTTGATGACAGTCGGTGAAAACCCTAGCGGAGGCCGATGTGACGTTTCAATGGTCTACGCATTGGAAATGTTTTATTTGAATGAATATATCCCCATCCTCAGTCCTCTAGTATATTACACCATAATCCACACCAAAGAACTTCATTCATATTAAGAGGTATATTGGCTATGTCACAACCGAACGCAAGATCGAATGTTTGATCGTAGCACGCTGTAACACAACGTGCCCTACCTTAGATTGTTTACTGAAACAACCAGACAAGAACTTCGGCTTCTTTCGGTCAGAAATCTTTTATTAACCCCGGAATTTCCTCCAAAAGATCCAAGTATTTTGTATCTCGAGAAGGAACAAAAATGGCACACTTTAAACAAACAACTCTTTTCGATCTATTTCTCATCAGGTTTAATACAGAAATATACGTTGACAAATGCTAAGTTCTTGGAAGGGTACCGAACCAAGCAGTTCTCATGACGCGCGTTGCTTTATCATGTGATTGGCGGCAAACAGGCGCGACCGCAACTGACCGTGGAGGTATGGTTTACATGAGTACGAACGCATTACCTTTGTCAGCTCTATGTCTAGTACTGATCAGACGGTTGGTTATTGCACTTGGATTGTTTCTGTCCATATGGCTGATGAGCGATTTCCGTCAATAACTATTAGGTTCCCTTTTCTAAGTGCCTGGTCGTACATCCAAAGTGAATAGCTCTACAGTGGCAGGTGAACTGGTAGCACACCATTGATTGGAATTGACCAAGCCCTCTGTGCTTGAATTCAAGGAAAACTAACGAGGTACTGGTAAAAAGCACGTTAGGTTTAGCTGCACTGAATATGCTTCTGCGAGTCTACCTCCATCCTTGTGTACAAACCTCAGCCGCTTTGTTACCCATTAATGGAGTTTCGAGGAAAAGCTGTCTTTTTCCTACTTTCACACCGGATCTTAGACTGCTGGGCTTCATATAATTGTCAGTAAGGCGCTCTGCGTGTGTTCCATTCACTTCAATTCACGTTCATTAGTATCGCCGTTGCAGACCTTACTTGCATGTATGGTCAGCGTATGCCACCTTGACTTCAGCATCCAAAAGAGGCTGATCCAAACATTAAAACTTCAGTGATCGGCAGTCAAACAAGAAGAATCGAATTCCACCCAACAATAAGATGTGCCATAAAGCACCTGCTTTCTCAACACCTTTTTAATTTTTCCCATTAATGATTTCGTCTCCTATCCTTCATGGACTTAGTCTTTGTCAACGTACATTACTGTATAAAGCCTGACGAGAAAGAAATTAATAACAGTTTGCTCAACATGTTCCACTTTCCCTCCTTGCCCAGATAACCCACAAATCACAATTTTTGTGGCACGTGATAAGTCATGGGTAGAAAATCAGTGAGACTAGAGGTGCGTCATCGGTCTTGGAGGTGAATGTGACTCAAACGAGCGTTAAGAAGTCATCCGCCCAGTCCCTCCAAGTTACCCACCAGATAGCAAACCCACATTTGCTGCTCTGGTATCCGCCGATTATCTGCGAGTTCCTCTGTTCTCTGCGGACCTACTTGGGGTAGGTCCCAGCGATTGACATTACACACGAACTGCTACAACCCCAATGATCTTACTCATGCAGTGTCGGCTATGGGTAAGCCGAACAATCTTATTAATTACCAGCACCCTGAAATTGTTAGATTTCCTACCGGTTTTAGTCAACTGTAGGTAAAAGTAGTTGTGGTATCTGTCATCTGCATTGGATACAACACTCGGAATCAGTCTTGTCAACTCGGCGAGGACGTGGTGAGCTTTCGATGGACAAGCACCGACAGACCGGTCGAATGTCGAGTAGAAGTAACTGGGATGGGGACACCCGCATCGACTGACTTTAGTGGGGAACACAGACTGTTCGATACCGCAGCCAAGTACATGTCGGAACTACATGGAGCAGGCACATTGTACTCGGCTGCTAACTGGGTGCAATTCCCGTTCCGAATGCAAATCTTGTTAAAACGAAGTGGAGATTACTGCATTTCATTTAGCCCTAGAACCATTGGCAGTACATTTGGATGAATCCCCGCAGCTTCAGATGGGACATAGAATTATCTGAAAGAAAATCAAATCGCTTGAATCATTGGGACTGTATTCGACCGGGAAATATTTTCTCCGTTACTTAACCCTTAACCACCAGTACTTGTTAGATTTCTGTTGGTAGCTTAAAGGTAGTGCTGATTATAACTGGCAGCGGAACTCTGGAGGTAATGGTTACCAATCGACGCTTTGTTCATTAGGCTAATAAGCGGAGCCCATCTAAGGGGTTTAAGATGTATTGTCGACTCCATACTCTTATAATTGTGTGTTTGGTATGGGCACTCGACAGCGTGTAACATCTCGACGCTACGTACACGCTTGATGTGCGTGCTCCCGGGTCATTTGCTCCAATCCTCACTAACTTCTCGCAGCGTAGTCATTGTATGCTCATTAGAAGCGGAGTTTTCAGCTCTACACAGTGATCCATCCTACGTGGAATTATATTTTACCACTAAAGTCCTAAGCGTGACCTTATGACTTCACGTCCTCGGTGAACATGTCTCATGTTAAGAGCAAATGTGAGTTGTGTGTTAAATTGGTGGAGTGAACTAGTTTGCAGCATTTGCTTGAATACCAATCACACAAAATGCTTTTGGACGGGGCCGATATAAACAAGGCGGTACAATAACACGACAGAGGCGTTTTGGTTCTGCCAACTATACCGTTCTATCCTAGTTGGTAACTGTGCTATTGAAGAAGTATGAAAGACTAACAGAAAAAGTCGAGCAACTGGTGTGCGCCAGGTTACAACTATGAGAGGAAAGGGACCTGCATTTTGTATGTGAAAATAACATCTCGAATTCCCCACTCAGGCCAAAGAAGGGAGCCAGGTATCTCAACCTTACCCTGACGACTCAGTCTCTATCAGTACCAACTCCCTTCTCTCTCTGTCTCTAACATAATCAACACATTGCCTGCAGCGTGCCTGCTTGAACTTCTGTACAGTGTGTTACATCTAGTAGCTTGTTCACTATAAAGGAGACCTTAAGCTGCAGTCAATCAGTTATAGTGTGCAACCAGGTAACACGCATCGGTTGCCGCTAAGCAAACATCAGAAATAGCACTGCTAACTTTGGTGGCCGGACTAGGGAATACTAAAATGTCTCAGCACGTGTGGCCTCCATCGGTGCCGTACACAAATTCACCAAAAGCACCAGAAACTAAGGCTATGAAAGCAGTAGCCACCAGGCGCAACCTTGGTGCCTTAAACCTTGCGTGCACTAATGTCCCCGAATCCAAATCCATTACAATTAAGGGTAGGCTGACATACGATCGATATCAATGGGGTTCCATCTGTACGGTGATCGGTGTTCATGCTGTTCCCACAACACAAAAATGCACCTTGCGTCACTCAAACGAATTGCACTGCGGTAATCTCCGGCTCCTTCGTGTAACACTAGAGCCGGTGGATAAGATAGAGGTCGTTCTGATGTTTGCAAATAGACTCCGCAACTTCTCAAATGGAGTACGCTAACTACCTGAAATCACTTGGAAGGAACGTTCAGCGGATCTTACCAACAGAGAGAGGAACAGAAAAAGTCAAGACAACGGAACTGTGATTGTTCACCTTAGTCCTTACTTTACAGATTCCACTTCCCGCGATGCTCAGTTAAATGACTGGGAGCAATGGCACAATATCCGTGACGTTCTTTCTCTCGAAAAGGTCGTGGCCACCTCGTTGACAAGAGTCCCCTTATTGCCAGACTATAAGGGGTGCGGTCCCAGACTGTTGAAACTAGTGTTGAAACCAGAACTAAGGGCACAATCTCTTCTAGAGAACTGGACCAAATTCCGCAGCAGCGTGCCAACAGAAACTCGTCTGAAAGCAGCGGGTACACCACCACTTTCTAATGAAAACTCACTGGAGGCACCGCTCTCAATGAAAACACTAACCTTAGGACCGGACTCGGTGACGGTTACCACAGTAGCTTTGACACCCGGAGGGACATAGCAGAGCACGAGCAAACACCGGGATCCTGGGCATCTGATACTTGAATATATACCAAAGTCATCTTAAGAGTCTGTAACCCATCCAAAAAACGATTCACCGCCGACCCTTCATCGACCGGCGTAAACTCACTTGCTTCTTCCATAACATCCAACACGCTTTTGGTCTCGGAGAAGTTCTCATACTTGTACGAAAATGCCCAAGGTCTACTCAGTAAATTGACTGAATTAAGCCTTCGACACACCTAAGCATCTTGGGACTTCATCGGTGTCACGGAAACATGGTTGCGCTGTGAGATAGCGAATGTCGAAATCGCGCTAACAGGTATGTCCGTTGTCCGGAACGATCGCGTCAGCAAAGGCCGTGTGGTAGCATCCTAGTTTCATAACAATCTGCAGTGCAAACCCATAAAGGATTTGGAAACCGATAAACCTGACTCTATTTGTTGCAGCTTCCGACTGAGAGGGAGCGATGTTGGTCTATTGGCTTTTGTTTATCGACCATCATCTTTTACACCTGAGATGGAATGCAACTTGGTGTCTGCAATGAGGAAGGTGACAACAAGGAAGTACAGTCACATTTTAGTCGCCAGCGCTTCCAACTTACATGCTGTAGAATCCCAGGCCACATCAAGCGA